ACCATGGCCTCAGATTTGGAGGTGCTAACTCTCATCCCCGCCGCTTCACACTCGGCTGCAAACCGCCCCAGTGAATGCTGGAGGTCACGATCCGAGGAGGCTAACAGGACCACATCATCTGCAAACAGCAGAGAGGCGATCCCGAGACCCCCGAACCTGACGTTCTCCACCCCCCGGCTGCGCCTAGATATCCTGTCCATGAAAGTCACGAACAGGACCGGAGACAAAGGGCAGCCCTGGCGGAGGCCAACACCCACCGGGAACGTGTCTGACGTATTACAGAGAATGCGGACACAGCTCTACTGCAGTCGTACAGAGACCGGATCGCCCGTTGTAACGGGTCCGGCACCCCGTACTCCCGCAGCACCCCCCACAAGACCCCCCAAGGGACCCGGTCGAAAGCCTTCTCCAAGTCCACAAAGCACATGTAGACTGGTTGGGCAAACTCCCAGAACCCCTCCAGTAGTCTTGCGAGGGTAAAGAGCTGGTCCACTGTTCCACGGCCGGGACGGAATCCGCACTGCTCCTCTTGAATCTGAGGTTCGACAAGCGGTCGGAGCCTCCTTTCCAGCACCCTGGCATAAGCCTTCCCCGGGAGGCCGAGTAGTGTGATACCCCGGTAATTCGAGCACACTCTCCGGTCCCCCTTTTTGAAGATGGGAACCACCACCCCGGTCTGCCAGTCCATGGGCACTGATCCCGACCCCCATGCGACATTTAAGAGGCGTGTCAGCCAGGACAGCCCAACCGTGTCCAGTATCTATATAATATGTCAATGTACATTTATCATTGGTTATTTATATATAAATACTTTTATAATAATAAGACATTCTTAGTAATGTTTTATAAAATGTTGTGTTTCATTGATAGATGTTTTTAATATTTTACATATTTTATGACAAACAATATTTTCGTCTTTTTTTTATCATTTATTCGTGTTTCTGTTATGAAGTATTTTCACCTGAGCCTTAGTGATGGAGTACATGACGGCAACGGCGCTGAACGGAGTCAGGTGGTAACATCGGGCGTGGTAGTTCACCTGAGACCAACAGCCAATCAGAGGGCAGCATTATTATTAATATGAACTAAATATGTTGCAAGAATTACATTTAAATCATAAATACATCATTTTAATTATGCATTTATGTTTAAAGTTTGTTATATTTGACAAAATATAATAATTATTATAAAATCAACATCATTTTAAATATTTTCTATCACAGCTGACTGCAGCTCCAGATAGCGATGGAGTCCAGTGACAACACGAGCTCCTTTAGTGTCACTCATGTCCTCCGGATGAGACTCAGATGTTAGTTATTGATCAGTTATTGATAAGAAGGTGAGCCGATACCTGACACTGTCTGCGGAAGACGATGCACGGATGAGCAAGGACGTTCTCAGTGAACAGACTGCAGACAGAGAGACAGACAGACACAGAGAGAGACAGATTTAATTTGAGACATTTATTCTGAAATTTATTTATTTATTTTTAATTTGAATACAGAGGTTTTTCTGTCCATCAGGCTCTACAGACACTCGTTTGGGAATGATGTCATGATGATTGACAGCTCTGTCAGAAAGTAACATTTATTATACGACCATTATTATTATTAATAAGAATTAATTTCCAACCTGACGAGTCCGATTCCAAATCCAGCAAATCGATTGAGCTGCTCTGCAAGAAACAACAACACATCAGCATTAATATAATACAAGAATAATAACACTTAGTAGTTCTATAATTATGAGACATAAATATACAAAAGTCAGGTTTATTCTTTAAAAAAGGATTACAAAAAAAAAAAAATCATAGAACTCATAAATCAAAAACAATAATAATGATTTTAAAAGACACTCTCATCTTAATCAAAATATCCATGTACTTCACATAACAGGCTAATTAGCCTGCTCCCTGACAATCAACTAGCATGCTGCATTGAGTTCCCATTCTGTCGTTAGCCTGCAAGCTAACCACCATTTAGTGTGAATTAGCCCCTTAACATCGTTCACTTCCTATAGGATTAGCCTGCAAGCTAACTACCCGCTAATATTATGTATTCGCATCTTTAGCCTTCAGTGTTTATTGTTGACATGTTAGCCTGTTAGTTCGCTTCTTATCGGACAGACCTCCCGTTAGATAT